AAGAGTGGCTCAAATTATACAGAGCTTCTTCCTCCTGTCAGAAGAACAAAAAACGGAATTTTCCATTAGTTTGACAGAAAAGTCTTATTTTGAGAAGAAGCTCAGCTTAGCTTTTTGGATTTGTCTCCTGTCCTAAAATCCCCTCTAGGAAAGTAATAAGTCAATTAGCTTAGATTCAAGGAGCTGAATAAGCAGAAAGGAAGTACCACAAAGAAACCTGTTTTTTCTCTTGCAGTAACCCAATTTCATCTCACTTATTAACTCCTCATTCAGGAGAGTGAGCTGTCCCACATCCTTTAGAACTTGCTTCTAGACACAGGAATGTAGAAATTCAGTACCCTAGCAAGGGAGGAGTGAGTGGGGTGACCACCCTGGGCACCAAAGTGAAGGGGCACCAACAGCACTGCCTAGCTGGGGCGGGGTGTAGGATGGAGCCATGAGCAGCTTGTCCGGGGGATGTGGGAGGAGGTGGCTCCCCGCCCCGTTGCGTGCACCCCCGGGCAACCATTGGGGGGGGGGGGGGGGGCATGTTTCCTCTGGATCTGTGCGTGGGGTGAGGGCAGGCTGCTGCTGTAGGCTTGCACCGGTCACCAAACTTCCTTGCTACAGCACTGTAGAAATTTCTTCCCCTTAGAACTAGCCCCGAAAATTAAAAGAAAAATAATCAGAATTGAAAGTAAAAATCACAAGAAAAAAACAACTTGAAAAACTTTAAAAGCTTAGAAAAATAACATGAAAGAGTCATGAAGATGGATGGATGTTCTGGGTTGGCAAATGAAAATTCCTTGAAAGGGCTCATAAACTAGAACAAAATTGGGCTGTACAACCACAAGAACTGTATACCTTTACTGTGACTGGACAAATCCACATAAACATGTCTTCAACTGCAATCAAAGAATTTCACTTTGAAATTAAAATATGTAAGAAACCAATTTACTTGTTTTGTTATAATCACTAAAGTGGGTTAAAGTAATGAGAAGTGCAATGACAGTGGTGAAACATGTATAAGAACATTCATTAACTACAAATATGAATATTTCTCAAATATTAGACTGTATCAAGGCAGTGAAGACCTCAGTGTAAAATAGTGTTTCCTGAGGAATTTGCCTAGTCTATTTCAATCTAAGATTTAAATTGAACAAGAACGTACATTTCACTTATAGTTTATTTTTGTATTTGAGTGACATCTAGTGGATATTTGTACAACAAGCTGCTCTTTCCAGGTGTAAATGCTAAACTTTGCAAACTTTTATCGAAAGAGTGGGTACTGAATTTCTCACACAACAGGCAGCAAAAGGGTTTCCTGATTTTCCTATTATCTCAATGTATATAAGCTTATTCATGTGAACTATACCATAGGCAGTAGCTTTCTAACCATAGAACATACGCGACAGCACACAACACTAAAAAAATATTCATCATACCATTACACCTGGGCATAAGTCTGGTCCTAAAGCCTCTGTCCATTCAGACCACGATCTTCCTCTTGTTCCAAACCAGTGAAAAACTTCATAGACTATTTTTTTCCTAAGACTGTCAAAGAATCCTAATCAGGATCACTGGAACTAAGGGTTTGTGACTTACCTACCGGGAACTGACCTGAAACCTGTCATGTCATATCAGCTGTTGTTTAAGCTCCAAAGTTCTTGTGACTGAGGACAGCACTGTTTCTGACAACTCAGTATGCAAGTTGGTATGTCAGGGCAGTGGCCACAGAGACCAAACTGGAGCATGCACTGGATTATAAGATGCAATTTAAGACCTAATGCAAATTTGAAGAGCTTTTTAATATATTTAAAGAAACAAAACAAATCTCTCTCAAAATTATGCCTCCTACTTCAAATAGTGCCATACAAGTCATGTGAGTTTGCTGTGGCATAACTGAAGTGTTATGAAACATACATTCAGCTCAAAGTATCTGAACTAAACCAATTACATCATTAACAAAAAAATAAATATTAAAATTCATGAAATTTATATTTTCTAAAGCAGCAATCAGCAAACTTTTAAGGCTGTGGCCTGAATTGACTCAGTTTGGGTCAGAGGCAGACAGATCAGTGGGTGCTAGGATCCAACCACCACTACCACCAATCCTCAGTGGTATGGGGAGAGTGACTACCGATGAAACCTCCCAGCCACTGAATCCCACCGAAACTCTACCTCTGCAAGCCAGATCTGGCCCATGAGCCATAAATTGTCAACCCCAACTCTAAAGTCATACGTATATTGTATATATTTCCAGGTCTTAAATTGTCCCATGTAAACCAGTTCATGCTCCAGTTTGGGCTCTGTGGCCACTGTCCTGACATACCAACTTGCATATTGATGTGCAGTGCTATCTACAACCAGAAAAACTTACAGGGTTTAAACAGTCACTGGTATATTTGATACCTCTTTCCATATAGATACTGAACCACTGATGACAACTCATTGAATATATATAGTAGGTTTACTGGGAAAATAAATGCCTACATCAGTATTCATCTCCAGCTTGTATCTATAACATTGCTCAGAAGATGCTTACTATTGTTTCTTAATGATATTTTTTCAAAGTAAACTTTCCCCAAAAAGAATTTTATTTTCAGGCTTCTACAGAAAAAGTCCAGTCCAAACATTGTGGTGCCCTGGAAGAGAGAGAGAGAGAGAGAAAGAAAGAGAGAGAGGGAATGTGTATGTCATATTTTTACAGATTACAGGGTGCCAACAAGCAGCAGCAGATTCGAATCTTTGTGGCCTAATATGCACATAGCAATATTTGATGTCAGAAGGCAAGACAGATACAAACCTTTATAGACTAACTAAATATGTGATGCAATGAACTTGGGTTCACAATTTTTATGCTCTCTCATATATATTTTATTTAGTAAGTCTCTATAAAGGTGCCAATCTACCCTGCCTTTTAAATGACTTCAGACTAACCTAGCTGACAACCTCTCTCTGCTCATGAATGTTTTGATGGCCACATGTGCTTAGAGAATACCATCACTCAATGTAAGTTTCACAGCCAGATACCACAAAGTGCAAAAGTTCCAGGTATAAGTACCATAAGGAAAAGGGAAAAAAAAGAAATGTACATGTTTAAATAATCTTCGGAGTCAAACTAGCTAACCACCAGCAGGTAACAATTTTTAAATGGTTGGCAACAGTTTAAATAGTGTGGAATAAAAATTTTTGTCCTCTATAGGAAATTATTTCCCTTTCAGTGTAAAACATTCTGGGACTTGTAGTAGTGAAGTGCAAATTAGTCACATTCCTAGCTTTATCCAAGCTTAGTTGTGAGATTTATTTTATTAAGAGTAACACGTATCTTAGAAAATAATTGAGTATGAAGAAACCTAGCTTTGTTACATTTTACAAAACCTCAATAAAATAGAATCATTATAGCCTAATGAAAAACAAAATGCAAAGTACAGCATGTAAAACTGAGTTTGTGAAAAAAAAGAAGCTGAAAACATTATTGCTCTGCCAAAGTTTACTTAAAAATCTGTACAACTATTTTTGTGTATATAGTATCACGGATATGTAGTTTTAGATACCAGAATGTTGTACGCCCATTTTCAAACATGGAGAAAAAATAAAGCAGAGTTTAATAAAAAGGTGTAAAAATGTTTGAGTTTTCTAATAAAAGCATCAATATTCTTAACTCTACCAATTTAAATAAGGAAAAGAAAGTTACCTCCAAAACAGGTACATTTTCTTTTAGTTCAGTTGTATGCGATGCCAGTAAGCCAATCACTCTGGCTACTTTAGTACGTCTATGAATTAAACACATTTGTTACTGAAATGAAAAACACGCTACATTTAAAACATAAGAAAAACATAGTTATTGTGACTAGTTATTTATAATGGTATATTATACACAGATTATTAAGTACAGGCACTTTTCAAGCACAATTTTACAAATTAAGTAATCGCAAAAGCCCAGTTTGTTCTTAGATAATACACATTGGGCACATCTACATGTCACCATATGGGAGTACACCTTTTGGAAATACTAAAGCATGGTGCAGTATGGGTGGTTACTGCATCGTGTGCATGATGCACAAGTGAATTTCACTGCTCCACTACCGACGTGCTATAGCCGGGGAGCGTACCACCACGGCGACATAGCTGGCAATCACATATAGGCACATGTGATGGCCACGTCACAACAGCATGACATACAGCAATGTAGGGCAACGTGTAGACACACCATTTTCCCCTTTACAGTAGTATGTTACTTAAGCAATTCTAACTGAATTATGATGTAAGCAATTACTGGTCTATAAAAAGGCATAGACTTCCCTTTGTTTACTATAAAGTGGATTTAGAAATAATATTCATGCTAATCCCATTTGTTGTTCATATTCATTCACATAATTTAAAATAGAAAAGACCATCATGGGTCATTTTACATATTTCATCTTAGTTGTCAAAACAGATTCCATTTCCAGAAAAACATGAATGGGACAAATTAAATATTAGACACCTTATTTTAAAGGACATTTAAAAACTTACTTTAAATGCTGTAAAGGATTTAAAAAAAACCCTTAATACAAAACAACCAGTAGAGGGCATTATTGCATCATAATACTTCTGACCACTAAAGCAAATAAAGTTTCTATCATTATGAATATTATGAAGGGGTTGGATTAAGTCAAAGCCATATCAAAGTTTAAATGATATTCCCAATTATTTATTTCCTCTACTTCTAAATTACATATTTTAAGTAAAAAAGAAACGTATTCATGATCACAAATTCATTTTAACAGTGCACACATTTGTAAAAAATGGACAGAGTGGTTATGCAATTCGCTTCTTTTGTCAACATTGCAGTAGATTTAATCAGTCAACTCCTGGATTATATTTTTTTATTTATAGTATAAGTAAAATCCTCAATGGCCGTTTAAAATTGGTAGTGGCTAGAACATATCAGATCTTACTACACTTATGATGCTGAAAATAAACAATTCATTACACGTGCCACTATACTGTGCATCATCAGGAGAGGCTGGCAGGGTATGAAATTAAAGGACGTCATCTAACATATTCAATGACGATCAGTATTTCAACAGATCCATTTGAAATGAGTTACTTGTTACTTACATATCCCAATTGGCAGCTGCCCTCATCTGCTGAATTAACACTGGAAACTAGAATTAAAAACATACAATCCATTGTAAACCAAACTTCCCTGATGCTATATGAGAATCAAGATAATGGTGGACAGTATTCAAAGTTTTATATTAAGTATTAAAAAACCCCTGAGTTTATTTTGTAAATATAAAACAAAGGTAGGCAGTGAAAGCAAAAATGTTTGAAACGGTTACTTGTTAATTGAATATTGAATAAATCTATGTATTCTATGACCTAATAGGGGCCTCTGTCTCTAAATTGCATGTTCTTACTTTGTCAAACCTTTGGCTGGACCATATTCTGCCTTCAGTGTTACCACTATAAACTTGGTATCATCAGCTGAGGGAAATTTAACTTGGCTGTACTTTCTGTACTTTGGCCTATTTTGATCTCCCCAAATTATACCATCTTTAATATTTCATGGTCTTATTAAGCTTGGACACACTTCACAATTAACTCTTTATTAATATAGCAAATGATTATAAACATATTTATCTAGTCTAAAAGATGTAATGCCCCCCCCCCAGCTCCTTAAAATTTTTATTTGGCATGAAATTTAGTAGCATAAAATATAACAGGCGTAATTCATTATTTTGTCCTTAATTCATTGTACTGTATTTGTCATTACATTAACAGTTTCTTAAAATAGAAATAAAGGGAAGCATTGCTAAAGACAGCTGAGTTGTTGCAATGGCTGGCATGTGAACCATGTTGACTCTCCCAGAACTTCATTACTTACCAGCTGTGAGCAGATTAGTCTAGTTGCCACTTCTTTGTGGCCAGCCACAGTGCACAGGTAGCAAAGCAAATTCAGTTTAGCTCGTGCTGCCCCAGTGTTCTTTTCAGTGCAGTCGATCAATGAACAAATTTGTTGCAAAAAGTCATTCCAATCCGTTTCTTTCAGAGACAATAGCTTCTCAGCTGTTTAAAAAAATTTGAGCAGCTGTTTAAAAGATCAAGACTTGCAATCTTTGATTTCATTTTATTTACTAAATATGTCAACGTGAATCAAAGCAGTTTCAAATCTTCTGGATGCAATCACAATTTTAATGTTTAAAACTGGGAGGGACCATGACGCAACCAAAATTTGGTAGCAGGGGAGCAGTTAATGCTCTCATTACTCATGGTTCTGCCAAATTTTCAGATCTATGAGGAGCCCCACAGGGCAGATAAGGCAGCCCCATGTGCCAGGTCTGGCCCTGTATGCCAGATTTTGCTTGCAGACTGGTTCCATGCCACTCATTTGGCTCACAGGGCCCAATGAGCTGCGCACCACTAGTTTAAAATATTAAGAAAGTGATATTTAGAAAACAGCTGCTGAGATATAAGTTACTCTTCAATTTAACACCTGGGCTCTGCACAGAGCATGGAACTTTAGGTTATTTATTTTAATTTGGTCCTTTTACTATCTACCCTTTAAGGACCCAGATCTGAAAATGTTAGTCCATGAATTTCTCACACAAAGAATTTGCTGAACTTTTGTTTGGGGACAAAAGCAATGACAAAACTCCTTCAGCAAAATCACTGTCCAACAAATTTTACAGAATAAAGAAAAGGATCTTACATTATTTTTTACTCACTCTTCCTGCTTACACACCCAAGCAGCAAAAATTACTAAGCAGAAACACTATCTGAGTTCTAAAAAAGAAAATATTTTCGGCTAAAGTACAGAGTCATTCCTCAAAACACAATAAAGCCTAACAATACCTCCCAAAATAAACGAGATGGAAGTGATCCAAAGAAGATATGTTACACTCCCAACAACAATCAGCCTTTTGTTTTAATAAAATTACAACTTCAGCAAGCATTAAAAAACAACTTGATGCTGGGCATTAGAAATATTTCATAATTGAAGGTGGAATTAGCAGGACTGGGATGGGTGAAAGATTCACAGAAGTTTAGGGCTGGAAGGGACTTTGTGAGATCATCAGGTCCAGCCCCCTTGCTCTGGACAGAAAAGATGTTGGGGTTAAATAACCCCAGCAAGATGTGTGTCCAGTCTCCTTCTGAAGATCTCCAAGGTAGGTGCCTGCACCACCACTGCTGGGAGTCTATTCCAGAGTCTGGTCACACGAACCGTAAAGAAGCTTTTCCTTATATCCAGTCTGAAACCTCCTTCTAGGAGTTTATGACCGTTGCTCCTGGTTTTCCCCTGGGACACTTTGGTGAATAGCTGTTCACCTAGCCTCTGATGCTCTCCCCTGATATATTTGTAAGCCGCCACCAAATCCCCCTAAAGTTCTCTCTTTCCTAGGCTGAACAGTCCCATATCTGTCTGTTCTTCATATGGCTTGTTCTTCAGGCCTTCATAATCATACGAGTGGCTTTTCTCTGGACTCTCTCAAGCTTATCCACATCCTTCTTGAAGTGTGGTGTCCAGAACTGGATACAGTACTCCAGCTGTGGCCTCACCAATGCTGAATAGCATGGGAGAATAACTTCCTTAGGTTAGCTTGACATGCATCAGTTGACACATGCCAGCGTATCATTTGCTCTGCTAACTGTAGCATCACCCTGGTGGCTCATATTCATTTTGTGGTCAATTATGACCTGCAGGTCCCTTTCAGACGTGATGCTAGGTAGCGTGGCACCACCAAGCCTGTAAGTTTGTTGCAGATTTTTCCTCCCCATATGGAGCACTTTACACTTTTCAGTGTTGAACAGCACCTGGTTCTGGTCTGCCCACCTAACTAATCTGTCTAGGTCTGTCTAGATCACCAGCCTACCCTGAGGTGTGCCCACACTTAGTGTCATCAGCAAACTTTGCCAGCGTGCTTAGCAGCTCCACGTCCAGATCCATTAATGAAGATGTTGAAAAGCATTCGTCCAAGTACCGAACCCTGAGGGACCCCACTAGCTACCTTCCGCCAGGTCAACACAGATCCGTCTATTAGTACTGTCTGGGTCTGACCCCACAGCCAGTTTCCCACCCATCTGACTGTTGAATTGTTGAGCCCATAGACCTCTAGTTTTACCTTGCGAGCCTCATGGGACACCAAATCAAAGGCCTTCCTAAAGTCCAAGTAGATGACATTGACCTCATCTCCCTTATCCAGGTAGGGGTAACCTGGTTGTAGAAGGAGATGAGGTTAGTCAGACATGACCTACCCACGACAAAACCATGCTGGCTGTTGTTCAGAATTTTGCCTTCTAGTAGCTTATTGCATATGGACTCCTTGAGAAATTCTCTCTCCTCCCCTTCTTGAAAATGGACACAACATTTACCTCTCCTGAGTGCCACGAGTTCTCAAAGAGGTTCGTTAGCAGTCCTGCAATGACTTCGACTAGTTATAACACCTCTGATTACAGAAACAATTTTTGAACTTGATTACACATTTATCAAACTTTAACCATTTTGACTAAACTTCTGCATATCAGTTGTCTACCTTAGGTTGACTATTTTTCAGAAAATGTCAATTGCAGGGGTTCAAGCATTTCCAAGAACAACAATAAAGAAAATTATGTGATTTTATCTATATTCAATTCTAGTAATCTAATCTGGAGCATTCCGTTCTTTGGAGCAAACATGCAAAGGGATATGATGTTAGGGATATACTCTATGCCATCACCATGAAATCCACCACATGCAATCCACTTTATAAGCCTTTGAAAAATCTGTTTCTATATACTCAAGAGAGACTTTCCAATGTTAAGGTGCTAAGAAATCCTTCAAATTCTGCTCTTATTAAGAATGCTCAAGCCTCTTAAAGCTCCTAGTGCTGATCAGAAAGCACATATGACAGCCTCAGAAAATGCTCAAGCATTCTCCATCCTTTCACAACATCTACATATGACAAAGACTGGGTAATCGTGTACCTGTAATTCAAATTTTCCCTATAATTACTGTTCTAAACAAGGGTGGGGCTGAGCATCTTCCGCTTTCTCCTGTATTTTCAGTGACATCCTAGCTGGCACCCAAGCGGTGTAAAAAGCAGTTCTCCTATTTGAATATAGATGAGAATGGAAGTAAACTGGGATAACAATGTTGGTGAAACTGGAAGTGAGGAAGAGATCCTGAATGGGAGACAGAGCTTGAGACAGGGAACTGATGAGGAAAGCAGATCGAGAGGGAAGCAAGATAAGACCAAGAAATATAAAGAGAATAAAAATTGTACTGGCTAGACAAAAAATTGTAACAAAGAACTATAGTGGTAAAGACTGGGAAGGCACATGAAGAAACCTGAACTGGGATTAGGAATCCATAAGGGAAACTGGAGACCAGGGTGAGTTTGAAAACAGGCTGGATAAGGAGCAAAAAAGGGGGAGAAACAGGGACTGGAAAAAATGAGTACAACTGTGTAAATTAAGACTGTATCATAAAGAATATACATATGAAGGCAGAACTGAAGTTGTACATGTAATGTTAATTTTGGCATTTCCTAACTTTTGAGTTCCTTGACTTAGCAGTTTTAATAAGTTTTGTTTATCATTTATAATTTAATTTGCACATCCAGAAAATTGTGATTTAATCAAAGAAATAACACCTGCTTATTGTAAATTTATGTAAAAAAAAAAAACAACACTCAATTTTACAGTTCACTGTAAAGAGTTTCACTTTTTTCCCCAGATCCAACTTTGATGTGCAGGGTAAAAAAATAGAAAAGTGATTGTAAGTGATGCAAGTGATCAGCTTCTTCTCCACTCCTATTGTGTGCTAGAAAATGCTACAACTTTGAGAAATACATTTAAGCATAGAGATTCCACTTTCCTAAGCATATTTTAAATAATGTGAGCTTTCCATAATTTTAAGGTAAGAAATGGATTTATCTGGTATTATTTTGGTTAATACTTTTAAACAGTAACAGCTCCTAATCACTTTCTTGTGGACTGCACTGCAATTCATGAAGATCATTCATTGTCTTTGCAATTTTTGTAGATATTATATGAAACTTGATCTTAGGTTTATTTCAACAATTTAGCATGGTTTAGAACAAAATTACAATGTAATACAAGAAACATGTGAATCATCAGCTATGAAACTTATGAATCAAAAGGAGACTGCAGCTCTTCAAATAGAAAATAACGAAGAGGAAAAGAATTATTACATTTACATGTGTAGCACTTATACATTTCAACAACTTTAGAAGGATTGTACCGGAATGTGCTGGTATATGTAGTGTTTTCTGATCAAATCTAACTGGTGCTTGTTTCATTATCTGGAAAAAAAAGTTGTTTGATATAACTATTAGTTTTTAACAGAACTGCTGAAAGTCTGAGTAGATAAACTTGATATTATGAATCATGAGATTATTTCATGCACCCAATAAAAACATTCCTGCCATTACTAAGGAGATGTCAACGTTATCACATAAATTTATTCCAAGCTAGTACTTGGGATTTAATGTATCAGTCTGGCAGTAATTAACTAACCAATTTCAGTATTGAGCTGATTTTAATGTACAGAAATAGAGCACCCATAATTTGTTTAACATTTTTACTTCACTTCTATAAGAAAAAAATGCCTTTTCTTTTTAAAATGATCTATTGTAGGGTAATAAATAGACATGTGGTTAAAGACCAGTTAATAAAGAATTTCTATTATATAGATGTACATTGAAAGAGTTACCACATTGTAAAAAAAAAAAAAAAAAAGGAAATTTCATATTAACATAGTAATGCATCCAGTGCTAAATGCATATTTTCATGAGAGATCAATATGCAATGAAGGTTTATGGTTGAGTTGGACAATTACTTATACATTCAATTATGCATTTGAGTGTGATTTATAGTAACAGGATGTCAATACAGTGTAGCTGGAGTTTAGAGGGTAGTATGTGACACAATAACAGTGTGGACTGGAACATTTTCTCCTAAAAATCATCAGCTGCATGAGTATGGCTAGTAAGAGAAAGTATGTTGCTGATTTAAGTTGGAACTTCTCTAAGGCAGATATGTAATGTTATTGTAGGTTCCCCATTTTTGTCATGGGATAACTTGCCTTGCTTTTTTGTAACATCTGGCATGTTACATAATAATCATGCAAAACTCACATTTATCCTGCAACAAATAAAACATTGGATGGGGCCTCAGACAAATACTTGATTTAATATTAAATCAAATTCTCTAAACTTGTACCATCACAGTGCCAGAGAAACTCCAGAAAATTCAAGAAGGCTTGCTAAATGACTGGGTGTATTTGTGTATAATGACAATTATAAAAGAAAGGAAGAGTTTCACCCTGTGAAAAGTTGCTGTGCATAAACAGCCCAGCCCTGCAAGCCCTTAATCTACTATTTATTATTTTATTATATTGTACCTTTGGATTGTCAAGAATGGGGGTTACAGTAAGGTCAAACTCAGTGTAGATGAGCTCTTTCAGCCTGAACTCCATATCCTGCTGACTTGAGCACATATGTTCAGCCTAGAAAAAGAAAAATATATATAGTAGACAGATTTATAACAAAGCAAACTTTTCTTCTGCAACATTGTGTTTCACCGTTACCAAACTGCATTGTATAGATCAGTGGTGCTCAATCTCATGCCAGCCCACAGGGCTTACAAGAGGTCCAGAAATTTGGTGCTGAGGGAGTGGTGGCATCATTACATTTCCACTCCCCTCCTGCCATATTTTTAGACCTCTGTGGAGCCTTTTGGGCTGGATGACATGTTCTTATGCATTAGATCATTCAAGCACATAGTAAGGCCAATGTGTTGTGTCACTCCATGGCTGGATCCCAGAACACAGGTCACTCCACAGCCAGACTGCTTCCATGGACCAATGCCACATGCTGGATCCAGCCTCTGGGACCAGATAGGTTCAGCATCACTGGTATAGATAAGAGAAATACTCTTAGTTCTGTATATTTTATGTATTTACCTGAATCAAGATGACTTTAAATTTAAGACGACTCCCTAATAATTAGATTCTATATGTGAAAAATATATCAATTTGTTTAGAATATACAGAATCTAATTATCAGGGGGGCTGACTTAAAATTTTCCTCACCACTGTCCCTTGCAGTCATCTGCCAATCCCACCCCCCACGACACTGTACTTGAATCAAAGACAAGGGGCTTCCCCCCCCGCCCATGCCAAACAACGAACATAACTGTATTTACTCAAATCTAAGACAAGGTTTATATAGTGCCTAGATTTCTTAACTTATAGCAAACACAGACAGCTCAGTAAAGGGTAGGAGAACAAAAAATAGCATTGTCACCTTTTTATAGATAGGAAACTGAGACAGAAGAAAATTAAACAGCTTGCCTGAGTCCTAAAAGTCTGATGAAGAGGGATCTTAATATTCAACATTCCTGACATCTTTATCACTACATATTTCTATTAGCAGATTCCTCCCAATTGTACAGATAATTCTTTTTTTCTTAAGCCTCAGATCAAAAGAATAGGTATTTATATACAAATAAGAGTTTATGTAATTCTTGACATAATTTTCATTCCTGAGAGAAAATATTCTGTATGGACAAGATCCAACACTTGAAAGACCATTTCAAAGTTTATCTAGAAATATGAGAAAGGTATGTGCACAAACATTCATGCCCAATCTGCAAAGAAATCAATTTTGCACAAAATTATTTAATGTAGTAAACTTTACACATTGTGATTAGTCTCATAGAAAACTCAAAAACACACGTCTTTGCAAGAGCAGGGCCCAAGATATTAAAAACATTTTCTTAATAGTAAAGACATCTTGCAATTTAATATCTACAGTTATTTATGTAATTACATTAATAATCTCATTGTCTCTAACATTTAAAATGCAATTATTTTATTTTATGGATTCTGTGTTATTTATTAGACTGCATTTGGAACATTTAAAGTATGTGAGAACAATTAATCTTTCTGTAGAGTACATTTAGTCATAATAAAGGTGGTTTTAAAAGACCATCAGGTACGTTTTATGAACTATAATTATATTAACATATTTTTTTTAAGCGGCAATATCAATAAATAAAAAAATCATTTATTTCACATATGGACCTTTGTTTACATAAATATACACACACACATTCCCACAAAAAACCCTGTAACTTAAAAACTACCACAGTAATAAGTATCATTAAAAACACCACAGTATGAAATCCCAAGTCTTTAAAGGCTATAGAAATGATAAAATCAGATAAAGTACAGAGTGTTTTGATCACTGCAGTTCATATTTTCTAAAAAGGATATGCTTATACATGTGAACTAACATTAGACATTGCACGAACAACCTTAAATATGACCCTAACATACTTCTTCTATAATGCGGTTTCTTAGTAAGGTATTAAATCATTATTGCATATTATACAAAGCCATTATTGAAAAGCTAAATAATTATGTAAGTACACGCCATTTTATATACTTTACTTGGTACAGAAATTGTAAAGTAAAAAAAAAAAGTATATCAGTACTATTTCATGTTTAATACTGATACATAAATATTTGAGGAATTCAGGCTACAACCTTAAATCTAAAAACACTATCAACAGGCTATAATATTTTTCTGCTCACCTTTGTGGCCTGTAAATCTCTCTGAGGGGAATTCTTAGTAGGAATAAGAAGAACGTTGTTTGTTTCTACAGCAATGCTAGTTCTAGGGGTAGGACGGGAGCTAAAATAAAGCCGAAAGAGAGAGAGAGAGAGAGAGAGAGAGTTCTGAATAGGTTCAATATACTATAAACCATACTCTAGTTGTTGAAACTTTCCCAAATTGCCCATTATTCTGAAAGGCTGTCAGGCACAAAAATTGTTCCATCTACCAAACATGTACTTAGTGTTTTTAAAATACCCAATAGTGTAAACATGGTAAAATCCCATCTCCTCAATCTTCGAGTCATCAAATATCTCAAGAGAATTAAACTCTCTGGAAACGATATTCAGTTTAGATTATTCCAGCTGTGCGAAAGCTGGGAAAGTATTGAAAAATTACAAAGATTCTCATGCCTTCCTCCCACCCCCCTTCCCTCACCCCCACACACTCCCATTTCCAATGCTGTTTGTTCATAAAAACTTTGAAAAGCAAGACAATGAAAGGAATCAGCATGGAGAGGCTAGTGTGCAACACATCTGTGATCACAAATACATCTGTGATCACTATTAAAGTCATTTAAATAATTTTAAATCGGGATTTTAAAACTGTACACAGGAAACTCAGATGTTACATTATCAATTTTAATTGTATTCCATATTTGTAATTTTAGTTATTTTTATTTATAGTTTGTGTCCATAAAGAAACATGACTTCTTCAGATGAAAACTGGAATTCAATTTTAAAATGCACAAAAAGAAGCCGTTAAATATCTGTACATTAAGTATGCCATACAAAAAAAGAAAAAAGCTTAACTAGTTATTTCCTTTCATAACTTATTACACAAAGGAAGTATTGTCTAAAGATGATAAACAGACTCAATTATTTGTAGTTATCATGTCAAGTTCAAAATTTAGGAATTGGTAAATCCCATTCTTCACACCTTGTTTTTATTCATAAGCAACAGGAAGAAGACACATGCTTTTCCACTTTCTCAGCTCCCAGTTTGACTCTGAATGAGCTAATCACTGAACTAAACTACCTAAAAAAACCCACAAAGGCAGAAAATTTTACCTCTGCCTTGCAGAAAAGCTTATTATAGTCAAACACTGGTTTAGCACAGTGTTTCTCAACCCATTGTACGCGTACCCCTGGGGGTACACGAGACAGGCAGGGGGTATGTGGGTGCTGCGTTTTAGTCTTTGCTTTCTCAGGCAGGAAGCTCCGGCTGCCACCCCTCCCACCATGTCCAGTGCACCAGGGCTTTCACTCCCCAGCATCAGTGTGCTGGGTAATAGGGAGGGAGGCCCTGTGCAAGCTGCTTTGCCCCGGGTCACGGTGGAAAAAGGTCGGACTCGGCTCACAGTGACGAAACTGGAAGCGCCACGGTGGGACTTCCAGTTTCGCTTTTGCTGCGTCAATCAGCATGGGGTATGTAAGGTATCAAAGGTTGAGAAGCACTGGTTTAGCACATCCACAAACCCTTTGTTTCCAGATATTCGGCTTGTGACTCCCTTCAAATGCAATGGTTTGACTTCCTTTAAAAGTCTGGCAGTCAAAATGTCTGGATTAAAGTTTAAAATAGCATCATTTTTTTTCAAATTAAAGTTAGTTTAGCACATTACCTTTTTTATTTTTTATAAAGAGGGTTTTCAGTGTTCTTTTTTAGTAAATGTTTTTTTTTTTTTTTAAATCACTGGCTGAACTACTCTAATGGCTGATGGGCTATCTATCATGTGTTTGGATCATAATACATGAGCCCTTCATTTGGGCTCATCTTCTGCAAGAATAGTACATGACTAGCATTTTTGACTAGCATTTACCTTCTCCATTCGGACAAAAACTAAGCTTATAACTAAAAGTAATCACTTCATTTTTTTTCTCTTACAAACTACTGGTGTATGTGGCACAAATAATACATAGCAATGGATATCCTCCATAGGACATGCTTAACTAATTTGCAGATGACAGTAAACTGGGTAGAGTTGCAGACACTAGAGGGTAGAGCTAGGATCCAGAATGACCTGGAAAAACTGGAGAAATGGCCCAAATCAATCAGATGAAATTCAGCAAGGATAGCTGCAAAATCCTTGTGGAACACCTGCATGCACAAATACAGACTGGGGAAATGATTGGCTACTGTACTCCATACTGCGGTACTACAGATAATCCAGTGAGGATTACGTTAGACCATAAATTGATTATGGGGAAACAGTGTGTTCTTATTACAAAACAAAAACAAAACAAGCCAAAAACTAGGTTAGAGATTAGGAAAAACTTTATGGCTAGGGACAGACATTACACATAAACCTGTGTATCAGTGATCAGACACTGGATTAAACCTGTAACAGAACAGACGTTCAGGGCGCACAAACCAGTTTGAAAATGGCTGAAACTGGTTTGAGATAAACCTGGTTGAATGTAGTATCAGACTTAACTGATTTGGGTCAAACTGGTTTATGCAATGTCTGTCCCAGACTCCTTCCTGGTTTCACTTAAACCAGAGTCCCCCAGCATCCCAGATGCTTTGCAGTCCTGGGTGGGGCTCTCTGCTCCAGAGCAAGACTGGCCCCACCCCTCTGGCTGGCTTCCCCTCTGCCCCTCCCACCTCCCTGCACGAGCAGAGATTCCCCCCCCTCCCTTCTCCCACAGCACGGACCGGACCGTAGGCAGCAAATGATAAGGCAGACAGGACAAAGGCAGATAGGACAGTGTCCGCTTAGGGCTTTTTGGAGCTAATCAACAGGTCAACTGGTAATGTCCCTTTGTTCCTTCCTTGGAAAAAGTTGTTTAGGAAGAGCTTAAATTAATGAGAGGCTTTTGTTTTCTTGATGGAGTGCTAAATGCTCTATTAACAACACCCTGCTGGCTCCCTCGCTGGTCAGGAAGAGCAGGGGGGAGGAGGAGGAGGGACCCTTCCCTAAATCGAAGCGTCCTTCCAGGGCCTGGCCTGAGCTCAGCACTGTAAAATAGAAGGGAGGGCTTCTCTAGCACCCCCCAGCTTCTAGCCTGAGCTACTGCAGGCATGTGCCTGCATTCCTTCAGTTCAGAGAGAATGTCTTCACAGTTAGAAACTGGTTCAGCCTAGTCAGGTTAGACTAACCTGCAAAGACTGAATCAATTCAGGCTCAGGCTTTTTGAATGTCTGTCAGAGACTATGACTATAAAAGCGGTTAAGCAGTGGAATAGGCTACCTAGAGAAGTTGTAGAATCTCCATCCCTAGAAGTAGTCAAGAGCAGATTAGTTAAACAGGTTAGTTAGGGATGCTGCTGCCTTCTAACCCTACTTTTTTATCCCGTGAACTGCAGTAAAAAACTGTTAGACTATCTGAAACAAAATGTTTCAAACATACTGTCCTATTAGCATGTAATTAAGGACTGCTTAAATAGTAAAGAGCACTGTGGCTGCTTACAGACGTTAACAAAAAAAAAAGCGCTTTACTTTAAACTGGGCATGCTCCCAAACCAAGCCCAGTGCATGTCCAGAAGACAGAGCATGTTAGTTGGACCCAGCTCACCCAATGTCTGGTCTGTATAGCTCAGGCGCTTTAGTGGGGATTGAATCAGCTCTTAGATGAAAACGCCAAAAAGCCCTGCTGAAGCACCTGGTCTATACAGATGCTACAGAACTAGGTCAAACTACTGTGCTGCTTCTTCTGGTAAAGTGTTTTTTTCTTTTGTTTTTTTAAATTTCTGTAAGCAGGCTGTGAATATGTAAAGTAAGAACAATTTCAATGTTCTAAACAATGGATAAACCTACAAATAATGTTTCTCTAATCTGGTTTAGGAAACAGCTAAGATTAGCCCTCTCTGTGAAAAACAGTACTAAAAAACATTATTTAAATTTCTACATCTCTCAAAGTGGAAGGAGACAACTTTATACCATTTAAACTATGTATTTATGTGCTACCTTTCCCTATGAACTTGTGGGACAAATACTTCATTCCAGCCATGTATTATATCTTAATATAGTAACAACGTATCTGAGCATATAGAAAGTAAAAATTATACAGACTGCTTTTGTTGTTCATACCTGAGAAGAAACATGGACTCATTTGATTCACCATCAAGTGCACTTTTAGGCCGCAATTCATCTGGATTCTCTGCTGAAAAGAACACACAGGACTTGCATTCATTAATGAATAAGAGGAATAAAACACATCTTGTTTGGAATAAGTGACTGATAAGATTTATGGGATTTGTTCATCCCAAATTAATTTGTTATTGAATTTCATTATTAGCTATGTATAATATTACCTAGCTTGAAAGATTTGTTAGGGTGTTTATTATCTGCTCCTGAGGATGACAGATTATCTGATTTTGTATTGGTATCTAAAGGCTCCTTGGTATCTCTGGGTACAAATGCCTCTGAGTTCTCACTGCTGGTTAACAAGAGAAGAGAGAGAGATACAAATTACTGAATGCATTTTAAAAGTCAATATAATTTCAATTATTATTTATTCTTTGTATTACTGAAAACTTTATCATGAACCAGGACTACATTGTACTAGCTTCTGTACAAACAGTGTTTGCATCAGTGTTGGCAATGGTGGTACACAGGGTTCTACCAAGTGACTGGTAGAAAATCTCAGTACTAAAACTTCTGAATCTTGACACTCATTAATTATGTGGGATCAATGCTAGTGGCGCTAAATATATTAAAGATGAAACTAGAGAGGCTAATTTTATATCACCATACCAAATGATTTATTAAATTATTTCAAACTACAGAAAGACCTTCGTACATCTGATGACCAGTAGTTTTAGAAAACCTGTGTAACTTTCCACCTGGTTATAAAAAGCAGAAGTCAAAACAAATATGTGCTTAACAGTGAAGTCTATAAACTAAACTAAGACAGATAAAAGCTACTTGATTACCTTTTGCACATGGAGGTAAATAAATTAAAAGGCTGGCATACCCTTTCAGATGCAAGTGTACTTTGCTGTTAAAAATATGCTTCTCTGGGGTTCACATTCTGAGAACTTGACCCACAAGCTTAGCTTCCTTATACTCAAAAACCACACAGAATGTGAAAGAGTTTACTGGCTGTGAATTCAATTGAGTCAAGAAGCACAGAAATTTAACTAAGATTCTCCCACAGGTGGTCAAGCACTTGTATCACTTCGATAGTACTAGCAATAGTGGTAGTGCTAATAAAAGCCACCACCATTCTAATCATGTTATATACCCATGCGCACAGCAAATCTAAACAACACAGTAGTTAAAACCCCAGTAAGCCATTCTAGATAACTTAACTGAATATATGAAAAAAATAACATAAAGGCTTAGAATGTAGCATGTTCTGTAAAAGAATCTCATAAATCTCTTGTACTGTCTTGTGTCATCTCCAAGAGGTTAGATATTAGTCCACTTTGTACCAGGAAGCAAACAGCTAATAATTTCTAAATTTGAAAAGGAAATGGTATAGACTCCAAGATTGTTAGATCTCTTATTTACTTAAAATTCAGCAGATCCTTGACAGGTGATGTAAAATACCCAGATATTTTATAAAGAAAACCACTATATTTATGAGCAACACAAGCACCACCCACATTTATTAGACTTTCTTGTCTTAATTATATCCCTAAATTTATATTCTGATTTCTTGCTTGACTGGCAATATGAAATCCTGCAGCACTTAAGCCATAAGCAGGGAGAGAGTTAAAGAAAACAATGGAGGAATATAAAATAAATCTTGTATAGTCCCATCATTCTAAAAGACTACCATTTTTACTGTTTTGGAACCAAAAAGATCTTCCAACCTATGAAACAAGGTATATAACAGAACAACCATAATAAAATATTCAAAGTAAGGAATTATAAAATAAGTCAAACAGAAGTAATTATGGAGAAGCCCAACCCTTTTAATGCACTTTTGAGAGATCCTATTTTCAGAAATTTCACACATGCAACACAGTGTAAACAAATTTTGTTTATAATGTTTTATATTATAGTTTTGCTTTTATGTTTTGATAGTTTTTATGTTTATGTTTTATATTATAGTACCTGACCTATGCTTACATTTGCCTGGTTATAAAACTTAACTGTATAAAAGCAAGATATTGAACTGCTAAGCTTTGTGATGCTATAAGACTAATGCATGAAAAGCATTAAAGGATTATTTTTATCAACAGATGTGTTGATAAAAATAACTCATCTCTCTAAAACAGAGATAATATTGACCCACATTTAAAAGGTTCTGAGAAATCTGAAAAATTACATAAGTGCATACTACAGTGCATCATTATTATACAAACAAAAAGAAAAGTAAGAGCAATCAGTTTAGCAAGAAATTTCAGTTTGTTATAGTTAGGAGAAAAGCAAGTTTATTTCAGCACCAACATATACTGTGCAAATGTCTTCTAAATCAAATTGAGAATGAAGTTCCAAATTCAGCTCATCATACACAACTAATCTCCAGTGGAGTCAATAAAACTATTCATTTGTGGGAAATGAGTGAGATTTCTCATCATATGGCAAGTAGATGAGGGCACAACTTCACAATGACAGAAATAATATAATTCTAAAGATGTGTAAGATATACATCAAGTGACATGAAATAGCCCGAGTCAATTACTGTTCTAGAAATACTAAAAAATGAAGTTTAAAAATTCTTATATCAAAAGAAAAATACAAGCAACTACCAGAAAAAACAAGAAGCAAGGCGTTTGTATGATACAATCGCTCCACTATAAGGTATACTGTAGTTGGGAGAGCCGTTGAACAAGCCTTTAGGCATTAGGTGCTCATCTCTGAAGAGGGTCTAAGAAATATAGACACAGGCTGAACTAAACAGAAGAGAGAAGACTCCATGTAAAGGCAAACAGTCTGCTTGGAGGGATGAACAAGGGCAGAGGTCTCATAGTTTCATAGTTGGTAGGGTCGGAAGGGACCTAAGCAGATCATCAACTCCGACACTCTGCCATGGGCAGGAAAGAGTACTGGGGTCAAACGACCCTGGCTAGGTGATTATCCAGACTCCTTTTGAAGACACCCAGGGCAGGAGTGAGCACCACTTCCTTTGGAAGTTGGCTCCAGATCCTAGCCACCCTGACTGTGAAGTAGTGCCTCCTGATATCTAGCTTGAATCTACTCTCGGTCAACTTATGGCCGTTGTTCCTTGTTACTGCCGGTAGGGCTCGGGGGAATAGGGACTCTCCCATTGCCTGCTGGTCCCCTTTGGCCAGTTTGTAGATGGCCACCAGATCCCCCCTCAGCCTTCTCTTGTGGAGGCTGAACAGGTTCAGGTCCTGTAGCCTCCGCTTGTAGGGCCTGCCTTGCCACCCCCTGATCATGCAAGTGGCCCTCCTCTGGACCCTCTCGATGCTGGCCACATCCCTCCTGAAGTGTGGCACCCAGAACGGGGCACAGTACTCCAACTGCGGCCTGACCAGTGTCACATAGAGGGGGAGGATCACCTCCTTGGACCTGCTCATGATGCATCTGTGGATGCATGACAAGGTGCAGTTAGCCTTCCTGACTGCATCCCCACACTGGCGGCCCATGTTCATCTTGGAATCAATAATGACACCAAGATCCTTTTCTGCCTCTGTGCTGATGAGAAGGGAGTTCCCCAGCCTGTAGGTATGCTGCTGGTTCTTCCTCCCCAGGTGCACTACCTTGCACTTGTCCATATTGAAACACATCCTGTTCTCATCCACCCACCCCTGTAACCTGTCCAGATCTAGTTGTAGCCTGTCCCTCTCCTCCAGCATGCCCACTTCTCTCCCCACATCTTAGTGTCACCCGCGAATCTGAACAAGGTGCTTTTCACCCCCTTGTCCAAGTCACTGATGAAGATGTCGAATAGTGCAGGCCTGAGGACCGAGCCCTGGGGGACCCCACTGTCCACATCTCTCCAGGTTGAAAACAACCCGTCCACCACCACTCTCTGGGTGTGGCGCACCAGCCAATTTGTGACCCATCTGACTGTTTAGGCATCAACGCTACAGTCGCCTAATTTCTTAATGAGAATGGGGTGAGAGACAGTGTTGAAGGCCTTCCTAAAGTCCAGAAGGATTTTGTGACCTGGTCGTAGGCCACCAGGTTGGTCCGACAGGACCTGCCTCAAATGAACCCATGTTGATTGCCCCTAAACATGATCCCCCCTGCTGGTCCCTCGCAGATGTGCTCCTGGATAATTTTCTCAAAGAGCTTCCCCAGGACCGAGGTAAGACTAACAGGCCTGTAGTTTACTGGGTCCTCCTTCCTCCCTTTTTGAAAATGGGGACCACACTGGCCCTTTTCCAGTCCTCTGGCACCTTGCCAGAGCACCATGAGTGCTCGTAAAATCGTGCCAGGGGTCCCGCAATGACCTCTGCTAATTCCCTCAGCACTCTGGGGTGGAGATCGTCAGGACCTGCTGATTTGAACACGTCTAGTCCCACCAGAAGTTCCCTGACTAGGTCCCTCCCATCCCTCCAAGCAGACTGTTTGTCTTTACATGGAGTCTTCTCTCTGCTACTTAGCTCAACCTGTGTCTACCTGTTTCTTAGACCTGAGGAAGGGCACCTGATGTCTAAAGGCTTGTCCAACATCTGTCCCAACTATACAATCACTTTGCTATAAGGTGTTACAAAATTTTTCACTCTTGTACATTTCCTGGACCGTCATGGCTACAAACACTGCAACCCTACCATCAAAAAAGTGTACAAAAGTAGAAAAAAAAAAAAAAAAGTACACTTTATTTAAGAATGTTATTTTTCCTAAGCACGCTGTACCTTGAGGTTGTATCCTGACTGTTTGTAGATTCACCTCCATAACTGCTGAAAGCATCTTTCCAGAATGAATGCTTTAATAGGTTTGTCCAGTTCAATCTTTAAATATAATAGAAAAGAGAGTCTGAAACAGTACTATAATTCCCAGTAACGGGCAAGTCTTACATAGTTACAAACTGTACATATACAATTTTAAAATAAAAGTCCAGTAATGTTAACATTTTGACTGCTCACTTCATCTAGCCTGAAAATAAGTTAAAAATAGACTGAATGTAATATTAACATCGTTCTAAAATGGGTATCGGTTTGATTACCCATAAGACAGTCTTTGTTTGGTATCATTACCAAACTATATGTAAGCAAAGCTCAAATCACAATTTTTTGTAAGTGAATAATTTTGATTCAGCACATGCAAAACAAACAGCTACATCATTTTCCAGACTATATCTGCAAAATAAGAATTCACTATTTTAAGAATATTTTTTCAGAGGAGTGTAGGCCAGAAGACAGGCTAGAAAGAGTTTCAGTGTGGAGACCCTATGTTCTGTGAAGGGCAGCAGAGTGCATCAGAGAATTTGAGATCTGTTTAAGAACATCCTGAGATGGATGGAATCAGTACAAACTGCAATAGTAAATAAAAGCACACATGATGGTATAACCAAGCCTGAAACAATTACATGCATAGGAAATGCTGTACTGGAATAAGTTCATTAATCAGTAGATTGTGAAGGTGCATGACACCGAGCAGGATTGATCATGAGAAAAGTACGGAGAACAATACAACCCAAAATGGGTATAAGAAAAACAAAGGGTAATTATAAGGATCATTAATGAGCACGTAGTAATAAGTAATGATGCATGCAAAGATGTAAGCATTTCTAATGTATGTAAAAAAAATAGAATAGAAACACACTTTGGATTTGTGTTTAACCCAGCACCATCCTGTTGTCAGTCAATCTGGTATGAATAGAAGGCGACACACTTAAGTTTATACTCACTGAATAGCTGCTACACATGCTTATTCAAACCATGCTGCAGTAAAACCTGACAGGTCCCTGGGGGGCAACAACAAGGAAGAGGAAAACCATAAAATGATATTAATAATCTTGAATTAGACTGCTTTACCTTGTCAGAGGATCCTTCTGAAGCAGACCATCAAGCAAATTAACAAAGTCTGAGGAAGGTTTGGGAAGAGCAGAATCTGTAAATATAAGAACTTGCAGTAAAATGTGTTTGGTAATAAAAATAAGTAATTTCAAAGCTAGAAAGATTATGTCAATATCAGAAAAAAATATAGACCCTCATCCTGGCTTTAGCCACTGAAGTCAGTGTGTTCAACAAGGGTGTAGGGTCTGTCAACTCAGAACCAATTGCAAAAAAGAGTCTTAAACAGTTATGCCTCAGAAGATTCCTGTAACTAGGTGAGATGGTACTTTTTGAAAATTTTTAAATGAATTTCTCATATTCTCAAACGTGGCCTGCAGGAGGGAGGGGGCGGGTTTCATAGGTGTGTGGTACAGCTAGGGTGGGGGGGCACAGTGCAGCAGTAGGGTGCGTCACATGGGCATGTTTGGGAAGGGGAGACATTCATAAGGTGTTCGGCCCCAGGGGGCTATGGCTTGCCCTGGTGTGACCCATGGGGTGTGTGCCCTCTCCCCTGGTCCAGCTGGTGGGGCATGTAGATCCCAGCTACTTAGAACTTGGACAGCCCCTATTTAAATCATAATTTCCACTGTTTCATCCCTGTATTATACCTTTTAAACCATTTTTTTTAGTGCATATCAAGGGCATTTAAGATGAAGTTCATTGCAAGCTAGATATTTTAAGAAGCCATTCTGCATTTTTCGTTAACTGACAAAAAAGCATTGTTTTGCTTACTCTAAAAATTCAAAATAATAAAATTAAATTTAAAATAATATATGAGGGCTACCCAGACCTTCAATGCATATGCCTGGGCAGGAATTTTTGGAGGAGTGGAGGCTGCCCAGACCTTCCATCCTCCCTTTAGGCCACTGAGACAGAATTCAAAGACCAAACTGAGTCCAGGTGTTTGATACCTCCGTGGCTGTAGTCATATAAGTGTCTGGGAATCAAACCCAGGTCAAATATGTGGTAGACAAGGATTCTACCACTGAACCACAGGGGACTCCTAAGAAAACACAGATTCAGCCCTGAAACGTTCAAATCTGAGCTAAAGCTACCCACTGAAAAATGTGAAGTAGTTTTACTACATGTAAAAGTTACTATCTTATGTCTATGGCCTGATTTAGTTTCCCTGGCCCTCTAACAGCACTTAATGTGAGAAGGTAGCTGTAAAAGGGGACCTTCTCAGGGCCGATCTCACTGTAGCCCGCCCACCTGTTTCTGGGCTACCTGCCCGCCTTCTCACCCACCACGCCTTGTTATTAATTAGTTAAATGATGTTACTAAGCGGGAGGCTGCCCATTTCCTGCCCCAATGCCAGGGGGCACTATCTGCGGCTCCATTCCTCCCCTACACCGCAGCCCAAGCCTCGCTGATGCCATCCAAATGTTCCTACAATCATGGGCCCCCACTGGGTCCCAAAATCCTCCAACTGAGCCCCTCTATGATCCCTTCAATCAGGCAGCCTCATCCACCTTCATCCTGGGCAGCATAGATCCCTGAACTGCTTCTCCTTTGGGTGTGGTCCCCCCAGGACCTTTGGCTCACTAGCCCTGGCCCACCTCCAGGCCAGTCAGAACCCCAGGCCCTCAGAACTTGGGCGTTCCTCGCGGTGGCCCCCGGCCCTTTGACCCTTCCGGTCCTGGCCCCAGCATGGGCCAGTCAGGAGAAGTTCAGACAGGCGTGAGTCTATGGCCCTTTTCTCTCTCTCTGGAGGTCCACCCTCCAGGCCCTCCAAACAAGGGGTAACCCACCCGGTTGTGGGGGCTAGGGGTTAAGGCACTCCGACCCGACTTTCACTGGGGTGGTAACTGGCCTGGGGTGGTAACTGGGGTGGCAGCAGAACTGCCTTGCTTATATGGGCAGCCTCAGATTAAAAATGGCTGCCCTCATCAGGCACCTGGCAGTTGCTAGGTCCAGGCCCTTAAAGTGGCAGGCACAAACAGTGCCCTGCCACAGTAGCATTGGAGAGTTGGTCATGTGTTCACTTATTATATGTTTACTATAAAATAAAATTGAGATACATTACTCCAAAACAACTGTGTCTTATGTCTACACCCTAATAATAATTACAACAACAACAACAACATGTTTGAGAGAATAGACATCAAGTCAGTTAAAGTTTATTCAACTGAGACAACTGGCTTCAGTCATTAAGAATTTTAACTTTCTGAACTGAAACATTGATTAGCAAAATCTTGGGGGGGGGGGGGGGGGGGGGGAAAGCCCCACGAAGGATTGGGGGGGGGGGGGGGGGAGGAAGTAACCCACACCCCTCCCACCCCACAAAAAACACCTAAATATGGCAATCTAGGTACCAAACAATCTGGTTTGACTCACTGAACAAAGAGAAAGTTACCTTTTGGTCTAGGCGGCAAAGGATCTTCAAACAAAATCTTTTCAGTTAATTCAGAAAAGCTTTCCGAGAAGAATGGAGGTCTTCCTATGAATGGTATTTTATTAACAGAGTTAGGTAAAATTTTGTAAGGCTTCAAAACATGTTGTGAGCTATAGCCAACAATAGCTAGATAATTTTCATCCTGTTAAGGATAAACCTAAAGAAACAAATACCTTCAATCTGAATTCAATTTACGAAGCACCTACAAAAACAACAATAGACAAATTCTTGGTGCTGAGAGCCAATGAGTAACAAAAACAGCAGAAGAATCCATTTGCAGGATGCTCCTAAATATCTTGCATGCCAAAGGGGTCTCCACGCAGCCCCTCAAGACAGCAAAGTGGCAGCAATAACATCAAGGTGAGGCAGGAGAGAAATTTCAACATTTCTCAGTTATCTGCATAACTGTTTTTTTAATGGACCAGAAGACTGTTACTACACTAAAACTGTGCACCACTGTTTGAAGAGGACTTTTCATCTTCTTATCTCCAGTCCCAACACACACATATCACTTCACCTGCAGGGTGTCCAATTACTCTAACTTTATACAGGGTCAAGTGAATTTTACCTTTAAAATAAAAAGACAAAAATAATGTACAAAAATAAACCTTCATGTTTAGGAGAATAAAATCCATTGACAGAACTGAAACTCACATAGTTCTAATTTAGCAAAGTCATAATGACTGAGGACTACAGACAGTTAAAACCATCTTATAATTCAGGTATCAAGGCAAAATGAATTTACTTTATTTTAGTTATTTTACAAGGATCCTAAATAATTGTTACTACTTTTATAAGCATCTCCAGTAACATTTTCAAGAATTCTTTAGAAAAATACATATTAAAAACATTCCTATTTTTTAACATTCCTAAACATTTTGAAAGTGTGCATAGTGGAAAAATTAGGTTTTGGTACAATTACAACAGAGATTAGTCAGATATGTGTGTACATACACACACACACAAATATATACCTGAAAACATTTCATATAGTAAACAACCCAACGACCATAGATCGCTGGCTTTGGAGAAATCTTCTCCATTTATTACTTCTGGAGCAGTGTACATTGGAGATCCTACAAAACAAAACAAATAGAGAACAATTTGACTATTCATTCAACATTTCTATGCTTCAACACTGGACATATACCACTAACAAGGCAATCGTTTCAACAATTATGAGGTTGTTACCTCCATTTAAAAAAAGAAAATGGTACCGGAGAATTTAAGGCCACTTGCAGATTGCGCTTAGCTGTCACTGGGAGAGTCTCTGCTCTCCCCATGGAAACCATGCATGTATAGATGTTCAAGAATTTTTCTCCCAAAGCAAAAATAGCCACTCCAGGAGAAAAATACCTCAGGAACAAACAGGACTAAATCACTTCCACAAGAAAGCAAATGTCTGTAAACTTTCCCTTATGCAAGGAGCTGCAGCAGTCCTCCAGCATCCCAGAATGCATGGCTTCACCTCCCTGGCCCAGGGGAGTCAGGGTGTCACTCTGACTGATTCAGATGACCCAGAGCAGTCTGTGAGCTAATTAGGGCTGCCTTGTACATTGCTGCCATCTATCTCCAGGCAGGCAGAGAGCCTGCGGAGCACACTGAGATGTATGCACAGGGGGCCCTTGGCTGCATAGCATCAGTACTGAAAGCTCTCTGCTCAGCATTCAAATGTCTGTTCAGGAGTTTCTGGGTAAGTTTTTCCATTAAGAAAACAAACCCAGAAGAATTTTCCCAAATAATTTCAATATGCATACACAGCCTACAAAATACAGAGTGTTGATAGCCAAGTTAAGGGAACAGGACTTCAAGAGTTATGCCAGCCTTACACACAATTATCTTTTCTTCATCCTGATATACCTGTATTCATAGGTGGAGGGAGAAAAAATTATTTGGGGGGGGGGATGAATGCGCACACATATGCACGTGTGCACGCACACGCACATCCCTGTCCAGCAGGTAAGTCGGTGGGGAAAGTGGAAAGGAGAGAGGGAAAGGCCATGGGGGGGGCAGATTGAGACCCCCGTGATGAGGGAGGGAGCGGGGCAGAGGCAGGAGCAGGGGTGAATGGCCCAGGGCTGTGGTGGGTCATGCGAGGGTCGGAGCCTGGGCAGCTCATCCAGGAGTGCAGGTGGGCTGCTGCCAGTGGGTGAACTTCAGGGAAAGCCTGGCGGGGGATTCATACCCCCCCGATCTGTGCGCAGGACACAGGCAGGCTGCTGCTGTGCACTGGGTTCTGTACCCTGCTGTTGTTACCTCCAGAGCTGTGTGACACCATGTGTATCCTACAGCTGGGTAGGCAGGGGGCATGGCACAGCCAAACGGCAGCAGGCACATAGTATTGCGCTGTTCTGGAGGCAGCGGCTGCGGGTACAGAGCCTAGTGTGCAACAGCCCACCTCCACTCCATGTACAGATTGGGGGGGCACATACCTCCCGGACCTTCCCCAGGGTATGCACAACAGCGGGAACCTCCTGGCACTCCTGGATGAGCCACCCGGGCTCCAACTGTCCCATGACGCAGCCCAGCCCTGGGGCCCCATTCACCCGAACCCCTGCCCCACTCCCTCCCTCAATGTGAGGACCTTGATCTGTACCCCCAAGCCCCTTCCCCTTTACAGAGTAGACTGATACCTGCCTGCCAATGCTGGACCGTTATCCACACACGGGGCTCTGATCCTAGCTGCACGTGCACCCCTCCCCATCCCTGCTTCAGACACCTGGAGTCCATGGCCAGGGCTACCTTGCACCTCTGCCCGCTGCCCTGCATTTGAGGGGGATAACTCTGTTAGCCCTGGCCTTCTTCCGCCCATGCCTGTACTAGGTTATTCTGCATTACATAAAGTATTTTGTTTGGTCCGCTTATACCCACATCCAAAGAATAACTGTAAGAATTTTGTGCTGTTCATTTCTAGTGTTCTTTATAACAATAGAAAGTATATTACACATTTCGGTGACTACTGAGAAGAATGAAGCAAATGGTTGAAATGGCAGGTTACTACAATTCTCACAAGAAACTAAAAATATCTACAAGTACAAGACTTTGAGTCCAAAAAAAATTGACCTTATGCTATGGGTCCTAAGACAAGCAGAACTGTATGGAGTTTAAAATGTCCACTTGGGTAGGTTATGTAATTAAGAGTTCATTATACTGGCTTGTTTTTGTATTTTGCACCTTCCTAAGAAGCATCTGCTACTGACCAGTGTTACACATAGGATACAAGATAAAATGAAACCCTGGTCTGATCCAGCATGGCTATTCCTATATTAAAGTAGGACAGAGACTGATCTACATTCTCTCTCACTCCATCAATTTTTATTAAGACGTCCACGGCTAAAATGTAGGGCCCTGCAAGACGCAAACGGTAATCTTGTGGCTACACCAGACAGAAAAGCTGATAATTTTAACAGTTTCTTTGCCTCTGTTTTCTTGAACAGGGACCGGGAAATCCCACCTACCAGAGGTAGGGACAGTCTTGTGGATAGCTCTGTCAGGCCTTCAGTTAGTGCACATGTAGTTAGGAATCTTCTGGAAGGGCTAGACATTTTTAAATCTGCAGGTCCAGATGCCCTCCACCCAAGGGTGTTGAGGGAGCTGGCAGGGGTCATCGCGGAGCCCTTGGCCCGGCTGTATGAGCATTCGTGGTCATCTGGCCAGGTGCCGGGGGATTGGAAACTGGCTAATGTGGTCCCAATTTTCGAGGAAGGAGGACTATAGGCCTCCTAGTAACTATAGGCCTGTAAGTCTCACCTCGGTGCTCGGGAAGATCTTGGAGAGAATCATCAAGGAGAATATCTGCAGGGGGCCTTCAGGGAAGATCATGCTCAGGGGCAATCAGCATGGGTTCATCAAAGGCAGGTCCTGCCTGACCAACCTGATTGCCTTTTATGACCAGGTGACTAAATCCTTGGATGATGGTGT